AAACCATGTGAGTAAATCAAACAATGGGCAAAGTACAGAGGAGGAGATGCTAACAAAAATGAAATGGGCTCTAAATCTGAGAGCATTTTCAAGAAGAAATCTCAACCCAATTCTTTCATGACATTGACCAGGCAGTTTCTTGAAAGAAATGTATGAGCTGTCTCATACGTACTTGGAACATGTAACTCTGGTCCACTTCCCAAAGCTTCAGTTTTTGCTTTTCCCAAAATTCCATGCTCGACAACTGGACAGAAGGCTATGCTGAATTAAATTTTATTGTTCTGGTGTTCTCCATCCATTTGCAATGCACATAATCAGGAATTCAGCTATGTCCCAAGAAACCCGTTTAACCTAATGAGAGCAAATGGCAATGGGTGTTCCTTACCCGAGACAGCAGTGCCAACGTTTCTGCTTAATTGGGACATATTTGGCTGGTTTCAGTGCTTGAAGTGCTTTTTAAACAGGTGTTTAATGGGTGTGGGATTCTGAACTCTGCCCTTTTGATACAGCAGTTGCCAAATAAAGATTAACAGAAATAAAAAGATCTAATACAGAATAATAATTTTTGTCTTTGTATATTTATTCAGCATAATTTTTACTTTAAGTTGCAGGCGGGTGGGGAGGTGTTTCTTCTCATAATTGAGAAAGTCCATTAAATAGAACAACAGGATGTCTAGCAGGGTGTCCTAATTAAAATTACCCTGTAATTTGAACAAAACATTCATTTGTATGTAGCTAAGGTCGACCTAAACCCCATCTAAATCAGGAAAAATTATTATACTTTTTTTTTTTTCTGCTGAAAATGAAACTTAGCATTCTGCCAGCGAACAGCATGGTTCTGTTATTATACAGTATTCAAGAGTAAGGATTTTCTCTTCAGTGTTCAAAAAATAATGTTTTGAGTTAATTTAAAAGAGGTTTCTCTCCTACCTCTAGCCTTTGATGGTATTCATTCATGGTTGCATTTCTGTGGCATTTGAAAGCAGAGACTATTTGGTTCTGTGCGTACTGTAAGCCCATCTGAAGCCTTTGGTTGTGGCCAGTGTACTGGTGAACTAATAAGCAACTGAGATAGCAGCTGCTTAGCAGGACTGATTGGCTCGGGCTTGACTTTGCTCTCTGCTCTCCACAGTTTCTAACTGGCTTGGAGTGCAAGCTGGGTAATTTTGTTATCTCGGGGAGCGTGGGCCTGCATGCATATTCCAGGCCGTCTACACAACTGAGGAGATGCTACACACCACGTAAAAATGACCTACTCGTGCTCGAGCTGTCATGCTTTAAAATGCTGCTGAGGCAAATTGTATTTAATACAACTTATCAAATCAAAGGGAATGCTTGGAAGAACTGACTTGAGAAGTATTGGTTGCATTTAAAAAGAAACTCACGAGCTGCGCAAACTGCAGCTTGTGGATGTTGCTTCCAGGACACAAGGTGCTGGAAGTTTATTTATTTATTTATTTATTTATGCCCACTTTCTGGGCAGGTTAGGAATGGGGAGGGTTTTCAAAAATGCTCAAAACTGATCTGAATATGCTGCTGATGGATTCAAGCTGGAATTCTTCACCATGGTTTGAGTGGAAAACACCCATGTTCCTTTGGATAATACCACCCATATGTTCCAAAAGTGGAACTTGATAAATGCCAATACTTAATTTGGTGCAATAGGAGTTTCCTTCCACTGAATTATTCTTCTGCATAAACCACCTTTTACATTTTCATGTCTCAGTTTCAGTGGAGTATATAACAACAAAAGAAAGGAAAGGGAAAAATCTGATGAACGATTTGCTTAACCTACTTTAAGCTCCAAGAAGAATTGTTAAAAAGAAGATGAAATTTGAGGCTGGTGTTGTGGTAATACACTTTTCAACTGATCAAGAGCACTTGAATAGAAAGTATTCAAATGTTGGCATTATTTAAAATTTTAGATTTCTGTCGTTGTTTTAAAGACAGTCAAAACTGATGTGGGCACCTGTTGTAATGTGAAAAGAGTAAAATTAATTCAATCAAGCAGCTATTGGGCTAGGTATTTTATATGCATGTCTGCACATATATGTTATCATGTGGATATTTAAGTATGCATGCTTTCCAATGGGCAGTTGTTGTGCAGAGAAACTTACTCAGTGACACCACAGGAAGAATATATGCACAAATGGGTTGTACTGGTAACTGTACCTTAAAGGCAGTTGAAGGAAAATGGGAATCTCCTGTTGGGAAACCACCCAAGCCTCTTGTCTAGGGGTTGTGCAACTTGAACATGTATAGGCTTGTGTAACAATCTGTACAGCTGCCTTGGGTAAATAGAATAACTGCAACCATCTTGAGAGTGTATAGAAGACTGGAATGAAAAACAGTAGTAGTGTGGATGCCATTGGTTCAGACTCACATATGCTGGAAAGCATTGTGTTGTTATTGTTGAACAAAAAAAGTCACCAATTCTTATCCCTGGTCTGCTGTCCTGTCCTTGAGGCCTGGTTGTAACTTGGCAATACAAATTCTAACTGAGCACTGGAATGGTGGGTATTGGTTGTTGAGCTGATGAAAACAGATGGAGACAATTGTCTGCACTGACTCTTTTACTCAGTTTGATTTCCAAAGATGCTGAATCACCTGTGGGTGCTCACTGCCTAGTGAAGCTCTTCCTTAGTGACTTCTCCTGGAGATATTGCGGGTGGTGGTGTCAGGTAATTCCTTACTACCAAAGGATCTCTCTTGTAGTATATAAAATATTCCAATTCCCTGGAGCAGGGAAGCAAAAAGAAGGGTACTTCAGTGTCTTCTGTATTTAGCTGAAATCCAGATACCCATCCTGCACAACTGTTTGGACAGAGTGGCTTTAGAACTACTGAGGGGGTTACAAAGTTAGTTTCTAGTCAGGACAGAATTGATGTTTCTTCTTTGGAAAGCAGCAAAAGAGACGAGTAGTATGGTTGGTAACTGTAGAAATGTAAAGGAAAACCTGCTCTTTGTCTCCAGGTGTATTTTCTGAAGTTCTTGAAAGATTTTTCAGGAGCTTCACCATGTTCTGTTAGCAGTGGTTCTTAATCACAGGCTTTATCATTTGCCTTTGGCAAGAATGCTCAATTCTTTCCATTTGAATGTGGGACCTTGCCTTATTGCCTCAGGGAAGTGTTACTGTAGTGCACATCACTTGAGGCTAATTCAACCTGCCACTTGGAAAATGCCCTTGGTGCAGATTGTAGCAGTGCACCATTATCTCAAGCTAGTTTTCATCAGAGACAGACTGCATCTGTTCTGTATGATCTGTGTTGCCCAACAGTTTGATTTAGGTTAGCATGAGGTGGGGTCTTTTTTTACCTATAAAGCTGTAATTGGTTTGGCTTCCAGCTGTGTGATAGGAGTCTTTCTCTTGTGTCATACCAAAGCAGCCCTAGACATCACAAGGTGTAGGTCCACAGCAGCTTAAACTAATCCGTGTTGACGCTGCTCTGTTGCTGTTCCTCCACTTGAACAGTTCTGCTGCCTCCCTGGCTCTAAGCCCCAAGTTTCCTGCCTGGATCTTGAGCTGCAACGAGGGTTTGATGTGGCTAAAAACACATGGGAAAGAACCCTTCATTCAGCTGAAAGCTCCCTGAACCAGGCACTTACGCACTCCTGGCTCTAGGATGGACTTGGGGACGTGTGACAAGGAGAGGAAGGAGATGAGGGAAAGGTGGGATTGTGACAGCTCCAATTAAAATCAACTTACATCATAACACAGCCATGCTTCTGAGGTTCTGGAAATGATAACCAGTGGTTTCAGCAAGATACAGCTGTGAGCATAGGATATGATAATCACGGGAACTGTGGCTTTGGAATTTCCTTCCTCCACTGTTTTCTAATACATCGCTTTGGTACACATTAGAAATGCTGAAGATCACACACCTCAACCTTTCCACCCTTAAAAAGGGAAAATGATATGAAGGCTTGATTAATTTCTTTTATGAGGTTTGGTTGCTGTATGTCACTAGAAGCAGATCAGGCAGAGGGGAAAAAAAGAAAACATTTTTGTAAGCAGTAGGGAATCTTCCCCTTTGAAAAAGAGCTAAAACTTCATTAACATTTCAGCCAGTTTTAAATTAAAATATGCATATGAAAATAATCTATAATGTGTTTTGAGTGCCAGTGAGTCACATCAGGGCAGTATCAGCACAAGTTTCTTGTGTATACAGCTTGTGATGTGGCTCCTGTACCATCAGTCAGAGTGCTGCTATGCCACTCACGCTGGTGTGAGAGTGCACATGGAATTAACCCTCGGCCTGGCACTGATCACATAAAGCCAGTGTGCCCCAGGCCACATGGCTGGCTGGGGCAAACTGAATGGAGCAGATGACTGCCGGGTCCTGAATTTTACATCTGTTTTGTGTGCAGGCTAACTTGGCCTAGTGCTTTTTACCGAGACTAGTCTTCTTCCGTTCCATTGCAATAGGTCTGTTTAGACCAGAAGGAGTATTCTGATGTAAACAGACTGCATTATTTCTGTAGGACAGGACCTGTGAACATGGCACCAGAGTGATTGGGTCATCTTTCACCCATCCCTGCACCTCTGAATGGTGATTACTTTACTTTTTCTACTGATACTTTAATCAGTAGATACTGATGATACTTTTTAATTTTTCTACCCCACTGAGCACAGGTCATTGAATTTGATGTCGGGAAGAGCAGAGGTCGGGAGTGAAGCTAACAGCTTCACTGTGCAGGGAGGTCTGCTCTGTATCCCTAGTTTTGCACATGTGAGAGGATGTGTGCACCTGCAGCATTCTGCCTGAAATGTTTTCCTACTGCAAGGTTTTTATGTCAAATCTACATGGATTGGATTTGTAGCTGTCCTGGGCAGTTGGCACCCCAACTGCAGAGCCTTTGGAGAAAAATGCTTTGCTGAATGTATCATGCTTTTGGTAGGCATGTGTTGGAATTCCTAACAACTGTTTTAAAAGGTTTTCCTTCATGCAAGGTCTTAAAAGAGAATTTTCTCCTCTTTTTTTTTCTCCCTTTCTCCTCAGGGAAATAGAGGGCTTGACGCATTCTTTACATCCTGCATTTACTCTGACCACAGTCCCTCCCTGTTCTCACAAGCGGAGCTCAGCCCTGCTTCCCTTCCTGTTGATTCCCAGTCAGCTACATGGTAAGTTTTCATTACCTCTAGACTTGTTGCCATGAGGTAAAACCCTGGCAGACTCTCTCTAAAATCCATTAGCACTGGGCATTGAGGGCAGAGCACTTCATACCCATCAGAGATCGTTCAGTTGTATTCCAGGCTGACTGCAAGGAAGGGAAGATAGTATTGAATTAGCATTGGAGCTGAACTTCAGCATAGATTGTTATAGGAATAAAATATGAAGTAAAATATGTGACAGAATTAAATCCATCAGTTCTAATAAAAGAAACAGAAGAAAGCAAAGAAATATTGGACCCTTAAATCCCATTAACCAGGCCAGAGAGAGAATGCGTTAAAAGGAAGCTGCACTGTATCTTTTTTCATTGTTTGATGAAATAATCTTTTTCACCCTTTAAGTAGTGTGTTTAAAACTCCTAGTATTTCTGAAACAAAGAGAATATACAGCCACCGAGCTAGCTGGTTTTATACCTTCCTTTCTGAGTATTGTCCTTCAGTGCAATACAGAGCCATTTCTTTGTTCTCACAAGCTAGCAGTTAAATTGTATGTAAATGTATGCAAATTAGATGCTGTCTAATAAAGAGAGTCATTAGATGGAAGAAATATTTAGTTTAGGGGGAAAAAAGAGAAGAAAGCAGGTGTATTTTGCAATAGAAAAATGTAAGATTGCAAAAGCCCCTCAAACTTTGGGTGAAGGCTTTTTATAAAGCCATTAAAATATTTTCTAAAAGGCTTGCCCTACTCTTGGTCCTATTTTCTCTGTGGTTTTTTTTATGTATGTGCACTTCTGTGTTCCTAAAAGTCACTGGCTGTGCTATACATACAGACATGTAAGTATTGTATTCATAAGTATTTTATTTCTTTAAATCATGTAGCTATGAATTTACACACATGTACCTTGTACTAGGGTGTGTTTTCTGCTTACTGAGTAGATAGAGGTGGAATTCATGTGGTAAATTTTATTTTCATAGATTGATTTATTCATCATATGCCCTGACTAGATACCTTTCCTCACTAAATCATCTTCCTCCATTTTATCAACCCTCTCCTCAACAATTTCAAAGCTTTATTTTTTTTTTCCCCCATTTTATTTATTCACCAGATCTCAGTGCCAGATGCATTTCCATTCTTTCACTTGCATTTTCTGCCAAGTTATCCCTTTTGAGGTATGGACCTGATTTAAGCCTCAAGCCACAGTGACCTTTATAAACACAAAGTTGCAGCTTACTGTCAGGTGTCATAACACTAAAATGCTAGAATGTGAAGCTTTGTGTCATCTGAAACTGGAGATTCCACACCCGTGGATGGAGCACTTGTATCCATCTAGGTTCTGAAAGATTTAAAATAGATGAACTTTATTTTCTTGCCACTTCTAAGGAGATTAAATTTGAGACCTTTCTCTCTCTACCTTTTGAATTTCTACTCCAGCTCTTTCATCACTTTTGTTTGAGTGGACGAGTATACAAAGGTGATGTGGCTTAATTATCTTGAAGTCTTTGTTGTATTTTGTTTCTGATGGTCAGTTAGCATGGTTTCAGGCAGAGACAATAACTGTATGTCAGCTTGCCTATTTTTTCTGTTGCAGTTTTGCAAGTCTGGAAGTCTAAAGATATATATGTACATGTGTATAAAATATATGTATATAAAAATAATGTTGTTTAAATATTTACATATAAAGCCAAAGGATTGGCTTCCTTCCCAGAATTACTGGAACTACCTTCCCCAGGAACATTTGGACTTGAGAAATCTCTACAGCAACACTTTTTTACTGAAACTAAACAACTTGTGAAGTGAGTAACTAGCTCTGCACCCTTTTTTGTTCATATAGGTTCTTTAGCTTGGGATGATGGAGAGACCATTCTGCATGGGTAGTTTATTTCCAGCTAATTATGATAAGATAATCCTCTATTTCCATTTGCACCCCTCAGTTTCTCATGGGCTTACTTTATGAGCAAGATCTTAGGAGGGAAACCTAGACAGAGTGGGGGTATTTTTACCACAGTTGTAGGACAGGTCCATGCACTGTGCTGTATCTGAGCAGTGTATGCAGTCTGGGCACTGCATTCCTTTCTGGAGAGCTAAAGAGCAGGCAGGCTGGTCACTCAGAACAGGCTGACCCCCAGCTGCCCAGTGTCCCAACCACCCTGGCTGAGCTGTCAGCAGAGCAGCCATAACGTGTCTGCTACCCAGTGGGAAATGTAGGCAGGGTGATTGTAGAGACATGGTGGAGGTTTGGCAGTTTCAGGTACTCTGGAAGGCATAATAGAATATCGTAAGGTGAAGATTGTGAGGAGTGCAAAGGAAATCTGAGCTGTAATATAAGGATGCTAGAGAGAGGTGAGGTTGAAGTGAGGAGTAACATGGGTTATACTGATGGCTAGGAGGGATGAGGCCATGTTAGCAAGCAGAAAATGTTGATCTACTGACTCATTTGAAGCACCACTCTTCTAGGCCTTCTGGCCTTGAATTTCTAGGAGAATTGAGTCAGTAATGATGCAGGCATTTAACATGGATGTTTACACAGTGTTTGCAATGTAGGTAGGTGTAGTTATGCACATTATTCAGATTTTGGGAGGTGGTGGTTAATCCTGAAACCCTAATTGGGAGATTTACACTGGACATGGGGACAGGCTGGCAAACAAAGTACCTTCTGTTTCTCAACATTCTTGGTCAGGTTGCAGAAAATACATGTAGATGAGTGATATTCAAATGGGGAAGAGTGATGTAGGCTTAGGGGCAGGGATTTGATTAATTCCATATTCCTTCCCATGCTTCCTGTGGTCTGGAATTGTTCAGGGCAGGAGAGAATTCAGTGCCTACTTTTTTGAGGATATGCATCTTGCTACCTTATGCATCTCAACAATAACAATAATACAGCTTTCCTACTCTTGAAGTACATTACAAGCATATATATGCATTAAAAGATGTGAGACTTCTGTGATGATTAATCCAATAGTAGTACTGTGGACAGATATGGGAACCAAGCCCTTGGTGCATCAGATCAGACATCCATCCTGTTAATGTCTTAGGCTTCAGCAGCGGGAGGCACAAGAAACCCCAAGTTTTAATAGTCGATCAACTCATTTTTTTCACTAGTGATCTCGATAGTAAATGAGAATTTTTAAAGCTGTACCTCTCAGAAGCTTGTGCATCTTTAAAGAAATAGTTTTAAGAAATAAAATATGCCACACTAAACTAATCCTAGAGCTAACGAACAGGCATTGGGACTAGCAGCTTTTGCTATTACCTACTGCTTATTATTGTTATTATTATTATTTCTTTTTAATTATGCAAAGTGCTAATCAGTTTGATTATGCACAGTGCTAATCAGGTTAATTATGCAAAGTGCTAATCAGTTATTCTCTAAGCACACGAGGAGAGCAGAGGTGCTGGCAGTGAATGGTGGTTCTAGATGGGGGTAGTCACGGCAGTCATTCCTTATTAAAAGAGGAGTAGGTGAGATGATAGGGGTTTTTGTTTCCATTAAAAAGTAAATAAAAAAATAAAAAAAAAAAGTAAAGCCATGAGGGGGATAGTTCTGGTGGGGTAATTCTTCTTTCACAGCAAGGCAGACTTTTTCCAAGTCAGCTCATGCTGTTGGATAATTTCTGTAGGAGTTTGAGTGCACTGATTTGGGCAAATGTGTTGCAGGGGAGCCTTTTAATAGCAAGGGTACAAGGTGCACCCACTTAATAGGTCGGGGTGCATAACTGGAAAAATCACGAATTAGAGGAGTTTGATCAATCTATATAGAGTCACCTTTTAAGCACTGATAAGTGGGATAGTGGTAATGTAACATGGATGGCAGTTGTTCATGTGTTATTATGGCTGAAGATCCTGTATGCGCATACAAAATGTGCTTCTTTCAGTGTAGTGCCTTTAAAAGCTGTAGGAATGTAGGGTGCCTTATCAGTGGAACATATGTTAGGCTGTGTTTCTTATTCTCCTTTAGCACTAAATTAAAAACTAGAATTTTGTATTCCCGTGAAACAAGATCTGTTTTCACTAAGCTATGTTCTCCCGACAATTACAGGAGATTCAGTGTGTCTCTCTTACTAGGCGGTGTCTAATATCTAACCAGTATTCCTTATTTGATTATGTTTCAGTATTGGTGTGGGATACATAAGCATTACTTTTTTCAGTTAGTAATGGAGATGACATTCCCAGAGCAGAAAGCTGCTTGCTCATAAAAGTCCTGGGTAAAGGATCTTAAGAGAATTTTGAAGTCATTAAAACAAAAGACTGTTTCATAGAAGGTCATCACTACTAGAAGGTTACTGCACCAGCAATGCAAGAGAAATTTTCCTTGAAAAATTAAGCATTGAAAGTACTAACTTATGGGGAGTCATGATAAAATTTAAAGTGTATTTAGGGTAGGAAGTAAAGCAAAACATCACTAATATATGGCTTAAACCAGAGCCTGAAAATGAATAATATTATCTTCTTGGCTTTGTGACTACTCCACGAGACACTAATCCTTAAAACAAGTTTACTACCAAATATGTGGTCACAGACGTTAATCTATTGTTATAAAATCCTTCTGGTGTTAGAAATCTAGATAAATCAATGGTCCAGCATCAAGTCTAGTGCCTTAGATCTGGAGGAGGGGCGTATGTGATGCAAATAAACTTAAGTGAGAGGGGGAGACACCAGACACCAGTGTCCTGAGACTCTGCATGCTTTGCTGTCTGAGCATTCACATCTTTTAAAGTGGGAGTCAAATCCTGAGAAAACTCAGAAGTTTTCATTTTCCTGTGGATATTTCCCTACAGTATCTAAAAGCTTCTGTAGAGTCAGAGGACCCTTGAAAGGCCAATATCATAAACTCCACACCGTAGTATTTGCATCATCAAAATATACATCTACCTGAGACATAATCATAGCTTCTTTTGAATTTCACCATCTCAGATGGCTGTCCTTCTGATGAACTGCGGAACCAGAAAGGCAAAACTCACATTCTGCTCCTAATTCTACTGCTGTCTTTGTAACCCTGCTAAATTGCATTACC